GATGATGATGATGATGTTAAAACTAATTTAAAACAAAATTAATCACATTATTTGGCAATGATTATGGAATTAAATCCCTGCTGGATACGGAATTTAGAATAGAATATTACATTTCTGGCAGGAATACATGGCAGAAGGCATACCTGTGGATATGGTGGAGTTCTCAGACAATCGCCCTGTTCTGGATATGTTGCTGTCACGTCCTATGGGACTGCTTGCACTGCTGGATGAAGAGAGTCGCTTTCCTCGTTCTACTGACCGTTCTCTCATTGGTAGGAATATGCAGATTTTAAATTATTATTCTCAAACAGAAAGCTCTTTCTGAAGTGTAACTAAAAGGAAACAAGAAAATTGTGGTTGTATGGTTCTGTCAACTGATATATACTCTTTTTAGAAATTAGGTTAGTGTCTTTGAAAAAATATGTTAATTATTTTGTAAAATAAATAGAAGAATTCCAAAAATTGTAGCATTAGATTACTTACATTAATTTAAATCATTATTTACTCTTGCATTAAACACACTTTATTACTGATTTCTTCTTGCAGAGAAGTTTCACAACAATGTGAAAAGCAAGTACTATGTGCGCCCTAAGTCAGATGCTCCATGCTTTGCAATTCACCATTATGCTGGACGTGTCGTATATCAGGCAGAAAGTTTCATGGACAAAAACCGCAATTTTCTTCCACCAGAGGTGATTCAGTTGCTCAGACAGTCACATCGGGATATGGTTCGGTTTCTCTTCCAATGTCCTCTTACCAAAACGGGCAATCTCTACTCACCTAGCCAAGAATCGCCACCTAGTACCCCTGAAGGCTCTAAGGTAAGATTAATTTCATGGATCAAAATGCTACTTGAGAAGCTGATAGCTATGGAACTGGATAAGAAATTCCATTCATTTTATGAAACCTAAACTTCTATATCATGTTCATAGGAAGCCACCACTGAGCCCAATCCTCAGCCATTTGCTTTCTCTCCACACCATCATCTCTGATTCCTTTAATATCCATTTTATTATTTTCCTCTCATCTTTAAATAGGTATTTCACCTATCTCTCCCTTTCACATTTTGTATGCAGTTTTTGTACCTCCCACACATATTATGTTTTCCCCATCTTAATTTTCTTCATTTTCAGCCAAATAATATTTGCTGTAGAAGACAAGTCATGATGTTCCTCATTACACATTTTTCTTGATTCCTTGTTACTTCATTCTCATAGGTCAGAATATTCTCCATACAACCTTGTTCAGAAATCAACTCAATCTATGTTATTCACTTGAAGTGAGAGACCAAATTTCATGCACATGCACATGAAACAAGAGGTAGAATTATAATTTTGTATATTGTAACCTATCTATGATGGCTCCTGGAGAAGTAAAAGAAATGCTCTAGATAATCTAATAAAAGGAAGGGACACAGTTAACTTGATTAAAGCCCAAAGAATAAGTTGTCTTGGACACATCTCAAGCATGGAGGCTGGACGAACAGTTAAAAGAATATATAACTGACAGCCACACGCTATAAGAAAGAGAGGCCGACCTAAGATCAGATGGAAAGATGACGTTAGGGAAGATAGGACTTACTACTGGACAACTCGCACCCAGGACAGAAGTAGTTGGAAGGAAACTGTTGAGCAGGCCAAAGCATTCAAGAAATGAGGAAGAAGAAGAAGAAGTCCGAAATTTGAATTTTGCGCGCGAATGGTTATGAGTACATCAAAATACGCTAGGTGTCTCCTCAAACATCATTCTTGAATTCTTGAATCAGTGAGGCAAGCGGCATCAAGTTGAGTGGTTGGGTGTAATGTTGGTGAACGTATTTCCATTGTTGTGTTTCCGTGAGTTTGCGGTTTTGCGATGGCTGACCTGAGAGAGCAGCGTGTCTGTATAAAGTTTTGTTTCAAACTTGGGAAAACCGCTGCAGGAACGCACCAAATGTTGAAGCAAGCTTTTGGTGAAAACAGTTTAGGCCAGACACAAACTTACAACTGGTAAAAGCATTTTAAAAATGGCCAAACATCGAGATGATGACGATCGTTCAGGACGGCCGTCAACGGGCAAGACACCAGAAAATGTCGCGAAAGTTGGGGATCTGATACTGCAAGATCATAGGCTGACCATCCAAGACCTCTGTAACACCTTGGGACTAAGTTAAGGTACATGTCAACGAATTGTGTCAGAGGAACTGAACATGAGGATTGCGGCGAAGTTTGTGCCACGACTGCTGCAAAATGAACAGAAGCAGCATTGCTTGGAAGTCTGCAGGGAACTTCAGCAACAGCTTCAAGAGGATCCAAACTTTCTTTTGAAGGTTGTCACTGGTGACGAAAGTTTGGTTTATGGCTACGACCCTGAAAGCAAGCAGCAATCGTCGCAATGGAAGAGCCCTTCTTCACCTCAGCCAAAAGAAGCTCGACAAGTCAAGAGCAACATGAAGTCCATGTTGATCTGTTTGTTTGATATTGATGGGATTGTTCATAAGGAGTTCGTCCCTCCTGGTCAGACAGTCAATAAAGAGTTCTATCGCGATGTTCTAAGGCGTTTGAGGGAGAACATGTGGAGAAAACGTCCAGAGAACAACTGGGTACTCCACCATGACAACGCACAACCGCATACGGCTTACATTGTGCAGGAATTTTTGGATAAAAACAAAATGGCAGTTGTTCCCCACCCACCGTACTCGCCAGACTTAGCTCCATGCGACTTCTTTCTCTTCCCCAAGATGAAAATCAAGTTGAAGGGGCGAAGATTTGATACAGTTGAGGAAATTCAAGCGGAAACTCAGACGGTACTAAACACCCTAACAAAGAAAGACTTCTAGGATGCATTTGAAAAGTGGCAGAAACGCTGGGATCGGTGTATGCGCTCCCAAGGGGACTACTTTGAAGGTGATGGTGCAGAATAAGATCTAGGTAAGATATAATAGTTTTTATTAACATATTTCGGGAACTTTTGGATTGCACCACATACATACATACATCCATCAGTGATTCAGAGTATTCATAAGTGTGCAACGGGCACTGAATATAAAACTTGTCAAATAGGAGTCACAAGACAATCACAGATAGAATCGCAGAGACATCAGTTCAACCATAGTTAAAATCTAGACTGTATACCTCAATTAAATAGATACAGTGTTACACATACAGTTATACCAACAAGATAATTAGCAATACATAATAATTCTCCTTCCTTAACTTACACTTACACTTAATGTCTATATTGATGCCTACTGTGGGACATCCATCAGTCAGCATGCACTCCTCTTCTGTTCCTTAGCTGTTGATCCTGACAGAAGAGCAAAAATTCATCAACAGTATATGATGGATTTTGTATTAGAACATCTCTTATTTCGTAAGATTTGAGGCTTTCACGGCGGTGACTATGAAGAAAGCAGTCTGCGTTACCGTGTCTCACGGTGTTGTCGCTTGCAGATTTACCTATACTTTTTCTTCAACCCTGAAGATGGGGGCGATACGTTCCTCCGAAACGTCGGTTAACACCACATATACACGGCGCCAAAGCCCAGAAGACTGCTTTCTTCNTGAGAGACCAATGTTAATATATTTAACTTTATAAATGCTGGCCTACATGACTCTATGTTTCATCCCCATTATTATTCTAATAGTCTTCTTTTGTAAGAGAAAGATCTTCTTGGCCTCTGACGAATTACCCCATATCTCATGAGTGAATGAAAGTATGCATTTTAAGTGTTGCAACATTACTATATGTTTTCATAATTTGTATTGCATAACATTCCTTTCCCGATCTGGGTAACAGTGATTCAGCCTGTGTCTTCTAGTTCAAGAACTTATCAATTTCAATGCCCCAAAATTTAATATGAGTTCCCTCTTGTAATAATTCATCGTTAAACTTTAATGTACAGGCATATTGTCACGATTGATTGTTTCAAATTTTAACACTTTAGTTTTCCTCAAGTTTAGGGATAAGCCATTGTATTTAAACCACTGACTTAAGGAATTTAACGTAAGTTTAGACCTTTCTTGAATTTCATTGATATTAATACCTGACACTAATATAGTTGTATCATTGGCATACAGCAGTGACTTGTTGTCAGTGCTTAATGCTGATGGCAGGTCATTAATATATAAAAGGAACAACAAAGGACCCAAAATTGAGCCCTGTGGCCTCTCCATATTTGACAGTTCCCCAGTCTGAACAGCACTTTCCATTTTCATTATTATAGAGTTGAACTCTTTGTCTTCTATTTTCCAGATAGGACTTCAACCATATTTTTATTTTACCACCAATGCCATATGTTGCTAATTTACTCAAAAGAATATCATGACTCACACAGTCAAATGCTTTTGTCAAATCACAAAAAGTTCCCAATGAATTATTGCGTCTTTCCATCGTTTCTAAAATATGATTAGTTAATGTATATATTGCCATTCCTGTGTTACTGTTTTCTCTAAATCAAAACTGTGCAAAAAACATTAAATTGTTTGTACGTATGTGTTGCTTTATCCTATTGTACATCACTCTTTCAAAAATCTTAGAAAAACTTATTACCAGTGATGTTGGTCTATAGTTTGCCATAATTGCCTTCTCACCTGTTTTGTATATAGGTCTAAATGAGGCAAATTTCATTCTATCAGGATATATTCCATGCTCAAAAGATGCATTAAATATGTGACACAATGGTTTACTTATCTCAGTTATACAGTATTTCAATATCTTACTAGAAATGCCATCATATCCTGTAGAATCTTTTGATTTTTGCAACATAAGTATGCTCTTTATTTCCACCTCCATTGTTGGTATTAGCTTCAGTTCAGGGAATTTATCAAATTTCAAAGTGTCTAAGAATTTAATAGCTTCATTTTTATTGGCACTTTTCATTTCCAGATTCTCAGCTACAGTTGTAAAGTATTTACTGAATACTTCTACTACTTCCTTAGTATTAGTTACTTTTCTTTTCCCCACTTTCAATTCGGTTATATTATCTGGGCCCCTCCTTTTCCAAGTTTCTTTATTAATAATCTTCCAGGTTAATTGTATTTTGTTTTCCGAGTTACTTATAAGTTTTTGATAGTACAATTTCTTAGCTTCTTTTATTATTTTTGTTAATGTCATACAGTACCTCTTATAGTATGATTCCAATCTTTCATCCTTTGATTTTTTAACTAAGTTGTATAAAGCTCTTTTATGATTACAAGATGTTTGTATACCTTTGGTTATCCANAGAAATGATCTATGAGTGTGACAGAAGTTGGACCTATCCTAGTCGGACAGTATCTAATATGGACTGTAACTGTATTTTTATGGTTTTCATTAAGATATTGTAACCTATGGGTTTGTAGATATGAGGCAAGAAGATAAAAGAATATAAGCTGAATAATAGCAGGCATTCTCCAAAATGAGTTTCCTCATAAATAAATAAATAAAAAATAAATAAATAAATTTTGATTTATTATTATTATAATTACCCAAATTTCTTTCTCATTATATATTGCCAAGTTGAAAATCTAGTGAATACCAACAAAAAAAAAATGAAATTCTTTACAGTGAGCACTATACGTTCTGGTAACCAGTTGTGTGTGGATTCAGTCGCCTTGACTTACATCTTACTGTATAGGTCCAAATTCTGAATGCCTCCTTCACGATATTCATATCACATAATGATAAGTGGGATTGTAAGTGCTGAAGAATTCAAAGGTTACAGTGGTGGTAGCATAGCCACTGGTAGTCTACTTTGACAGGCAGGCAGAGGTAGGTTCCAATTAAAGAGAAACATGCATTTTATCCTGGTTTGGGGTCATATGGATAACATGGTAACTCCCCCCTCCCCTCCATTAAATTTTATAATGTTCATATACTTTGCAGAAATGGAAAAGGTAAGTGAAGACTGAAGAGGCTTCAGTGCCTGTAACATGAAGGGAATAGAAGATGAAAAGGACAAAAATATCCTGAATGTTAAGATACCCTTGTTTTGTACTTCTAATTCTGACAAGAACCGTACATATTTGTGTCCTACTTTGCATTGTGACATGTTGAATACTCATGTATTTTTATATATTTAACAGAAGTTAACAAAATATAATAATGCTTGTATCACATAGAACTTGTTCACTGACCATGCTGCTGTTTCTTTGTAAAATATAGACTGCCTTGACATTTTTAATATTTCATTATATTTGTTACATGCTGCACTTCTTCAGAACGGTCTTTAATTTATTTTATTAATATTTAATTTGGCTACCACTGTTGTAATTTATTACATGTTCCTGAACTACAGTTATTCTGTTAAATGATTCTGTAAGCTGTAATACATAGGTGGAAGTTATACAAATGAAAACATGATAAAGCATAGACTATATTTAATACACACATATGCACACATTCACACAAATAATTTTAAAATAACATATTATTATTTTGCTGTGACAGTTGATTTACATTATGTTTAGTACAAGGTTTATGAAGATTAATCTAGAATGTAATAACTTGATTTTAATTTTATATAAAATGTGGTAATTGTAGGAAAATCGCCCTCGGTGTTAGTGGTCTAGTACAGCTGGACTAGACCTGTTGATTTCATGGTATCACTCAAGACTTGTTTCCAGGAGGTGCTTATTTTGAATCAAAGCCAGGACATTGGCTAGCCTGATGGAGGGTTTTTGCAAATTCCCTCAGTCACAGGTCAATTCTGGGATAGTACCTCATTTAGGCCGTGACTATCTCCTTCCAGTTCATCATTCATTAATCATCCTCTCATCCAATGCAATATAATCTCAATTGACTTACCTACTCATGGACCTGAGCCCTTCTTGAGAAGCCACCAATTCTGCAGCTACTCAAGAATTTCCTAGAATTTTATTTATCCCAAAGGATCATTGCCATGTTCACGATAGCCCTCCACTGGTCTCTATCCTGAGCCAGATCGATCCAATACGTACCATCCCATCCTATCCCTCTAAGATCCATTTTAATACTGTCCACACACCTATGCCTTGGTCTTCCCAGTGGTCTCTTTCCTTCTGGCTTTCCCAGCAATATCCTCAATGTATTCCACTTCTCCCCCATTCGTGCTACGTGCCCTGCCCACCTCATCCTCCTTGACTTGATCATGCTAATTATGCTTGGAGAAGAGTACAAGTTATGAAGCTCCTCATTATGCTCAATTCTGACAATATTAATAAATAATCAAATTAATAAAAGTAATAAAATATACAGTTTTGGTATTGCTGAGTTCATAAAACTAATTTATCGAATGTAATCTGTCATTCTGTCTCCCCATATGTCAGAAATTTATGAACAAGATCTGTTACCACACTCTTCAGAATCAGATACATATGAGAATTTTAATCTAAGATAATACAAACTGTTGCAGGAACGTTACAGCAGCCGCGGCCTAGCATCACAGTCGCGGGCACAACAGACAGTTGCCACATACTTCCGCTATTCTTTAATGGACCTGCTTCAGAAGATGGTCAGTGGGTCTCCCCAGTTTGTGCGCTGTATCAAGCCCAATGATTCACGAGTTCCCAAACTATTTGACTCCAGTAAGGTGGTGAAGCAGTTACGCTACACAGGAGTAATGGAGACAATACGGATACGACAGAATGGCTTCTCACATAGGATACAATTTGGGGAGTTTCTGAAAAGGTGTAGTATTCTTCTCAGTTGGGTATTTGAGAGTGTACATGACTGACATCTGTGTGCGTGCATGCGCAACTGCAAATGACTATACTACTAAGGTTGTTTTTGTTGACTTTGTTCATCATTTACATTTTAACATAAAGAAGTCATAATGTTTATGAAATAGGTTTTGTTTTCTTCTTCATATAGAGAAATTTCTACTCTGTTGGCTCCCTTGGTATAGTTACTCATCTTGGAAGTTTAGAACGTCTGTGATTGCAGAGGGAGAAGATGGCTTCCAGTTGTGGAGAGTTGCTGCTTTTGTGATATAAAAATCTTAATATTACCAATATTCTGTGTTGTATTTTTCCATACAGATATTGTTTTTTGGCCTTTGCGTGGGATGAGCATGTTGTGGCATCACGGGAAAACTGCAGACTGCTGTTGATAAGACTTAAGATGGATGGCTGGGCCCTTGGCAAGACCAAAGTGTTCCTGAAATACTACCATGTTGAGTACTTGTCAAAACTGTATGAGGACCAGGTGAGCGTACGTATATTCTAGGAAATAGGATAGAATTTTATTTAATGGTGAAAAATATGTTCCGTGTGTAAAACAAAATGACTCCAATTATGCTTTAATAATCATAAGCTACTATACGTGTTTAAATAATAGCCCAATATGATTTATGAGGAGGAAATAAAATATATTTTGCACAGCGTGATTGGGTCTACTTCAGGATAGACGATATTGTTGTTTTGCTACAAGCCTTTGTGTATTACAAATATTTATGGTTATTGGAGTCGTCAGTATAACTCTTTATTGTTTATACTGTAGTCTCCTTTCTGCTTCCTCATCACATTAATAAACTGATTGCCTGCCTCTGTAGCAAAACAAGCATGAAGGAGGTCTCAAACAAAGTGATTAAGTTGTTGAAGCGCCATTCTCGCAGTTATCTTTAATGTTCCTTGTTCTCAGTGTTGTTACCACCTTCAGTACATGTTGTAGCTGTTCCTCAATCCTTCTGTTTTGATTTATGTCATATTCAGGTTTTATTTTGGTCATGTCATTTGTAGGATGAAATCATGGTTTGTAAGTGTGATTGGGTTCATCCTGGTCCATCACACTAGCAATATTATAAAGGTTAATTATAATTAACACCATCCAGTGTGACTGATAAAATGTTTTTTCTTTTCAATCTTTTATCCTTGTCATGTTTCGGTCTTATAGCCCATCTTCGGAAGGATATCAATACAATTAGAAGCAACACAGTGAGCCCTGAACAACAACAGCATGACACAAAAGAATTCTATTCTCCAACAACAGAACCACAAGGTTGTAGATGCTCAACTTCCTTCAAAGAGAGGAAATAAAAAAGACACAAACCAATTTGGTTGAAAAAATTTAATAAAATATTTTTAAACATACTAATTGTAATTTATAAACATTTTAATGCATTAGTACACACCGCTGTAGTTGTTAAAATATTAAAATAAAAATATTAGATTTTTGTATTCATTTTATTATAATAACATTTTTTGTGGTTTATACGAGGCTTGTACTGAAAGTCATGAGCAACAATTTTTTGTAAAGTAACATGCTTTATTATTGACAAACCAAATACACCACCTCAATCTAGAGACCTTTCTTTATTTTTTCACATAATCGACACTTCTTTGTACACATTTCTCCCAGCGTTCTGGGAGTTTGAAAATTCACCTTCTGTAAAATTCCGTTCCAGCCTTCCGAAGACACTGACGCACTGCTTTCTGAATTGCCTCCCTTGTCTCAAAACGTCCACGCAGCCGATCTTTCACAAATCCAGAAAGATGGTAGCTGGAAGGTGCCAGATCAGGGCTATAGGAGCGGTGTGGAAGAACTTCCCACCCCATCTTTGCAATTTCTTCCAATGTGAGGCGAGCGGCATGGGGGCGAGTGTTGTCATGCAGGATGATGTTTTGTCCTGGACATTTATCATGCAATGCACAACAGAGCTTGTGCAGCGTCTGGATGTAATGAGCAACATTGATGATTTGCCAAGGTTCCAGGAATTCGGCCAGAATAAACCCCTCTGCATCCCAGAAAACTGCCCATCACCTTCACAGCTGATGGCACTGTCTTTGCCTTCTTTTTTGATGGAGAATGCAAATGGAGCCATTCCATACCCTGCTGTTTCGTTTCAGGCTTGAAATGGTGAAACCAGCTTTTGTCACCTGTCACAATACAGAATAAAAATCATCGCCTTCATGTCAATATCTCTGCAGCAGTTCTGAGGTTATGGCTTATCGCTGACCTTTGTGGTCTTCGGCCAATAACAGTGGGACCCAACGAGCACAAACTTTCCTATAGCCCAAGCTTTCAATCATCTCCTGTACTGCACTGTGCCCTATTCCAAGTTTTTGGGCTATTGTGTCCACAGTCACACGCCTGTCATCTTGAATGATCTCATCCATTCTTTCCTTGTTGCATTCAGTTGAGGCTGTTTGAGAATGACCATTCCGAGGCTCGTCTTCAATGCTGGTGTTCCCAACACTGCTCGCACCCATGCACACGCTTCCATAAGCATGCTGAAGTCTCTGGTGAATTTCTGCAGCAGGGATTTCCTCTTTCACAAGAAATGCGATGACAGCATTAGCTAAACGACACATCGTCGGCCATTTTGTTAGGAATGATTCTGGTCACGTAATGCAAGCTGTTGACGTCACAAGAAACTCAAGGCTAACACAACAGCTGGTTCCACCTACCACTGTACTCTCTTTTGTCTGCTGTTCCCAGCTTGCATGCAAAAAAAAAAGTTGCTTATGACTTTTGGTACGACCTACATAGTTTGCTGGATAGGTAGCAGTTTGCATAAGGTTCATTCAAGTCATCTTTCACTTTCAATTTCACTTTATTTTAAATTCCATAGATCCTTTTCAGGTCACGCATGCTATAGGATATAGAACATGTCAAGATACACAAACACATACATAAAAACAATGAACCCATCAACATGCAATACAGTCACAATACAAAATTTGTACATAAAATATTCAAATATGATCAAATTTATGCAGATATATGATTATCGTTGTCACCATCATATATCAATACAAAAGACCTATTCATAATATAGAAGTTTGATGCAATTATTTCGATCACATAACTACAAATACTTAATTTAACAGTCCAAATATAGTACATTTCATCAGGATTTAAAAATTAGAATATACAATAAAAAATCAGTATATACAATCAGTCATTTCACAGCAAGAACCTTAAAATTTGTAAACTATTTATTAACATATTCCTGTACAGGATAAAAGGAAATGAGCTGTGAGTAAACCATTCATGACCATCTTAATTGTATACAGTCATATGTTATTTGAAACAGATGGTCTATTACAGTGCCATACTACCATAAAATTTATACCCTTATATGCCGAGCGACTAGTCAGTGGGTAATACATCGTGTGTAAAATCAACCTAACAAACAGTTCAAGAGAATGTCTGGATTACACACCTTTGTCTTCTTTATATTGAAAGTATTTGTTTATAGAGTAAAAATAATGATGACATAATCACCTCTTTAATGCAAATTTAAAGCTTCTCTCATCACTGACAAAAATCTTTATTGATCGTGGAAGATGATTGAAAACTTTAATACCTGTTATATAGGCTCCTTTATCAAATTTTGAAGTATTCACACTAGGTACACATAAATTACCTTGGGATCTAGTTGTATATTCATGAATCTCGTTATTAAAGTTAAATAAATATTTATTATTAATTATATATAAAAGTAGTGAGTATATATACTGAGAATATAACGTCATAATTTCCAATTTCTTGAATATATCCCTGCAAGAATCTCTAGGTTTAGTGTTCGTTACGATTCTAATAATATTCTTTTGCAAGAAAACACTTTCCTGGCATGTGAGGCGGCACCCCAGAAGATTATACCATAACTCATGATGGAGTGTATGTAAGCAAAGTAGATTGGCCTTAACATTGCAAATGATACAATGTGTTTTATATTTCGCAGTGCATAGCACGCAGAGGATAATCTACTGATCACTAGGTCAATATACTGTTTCCAAGATAATACGTCATCAATAATCAAGCCAAGGAACTTAGTTTCTGTTACACTGGATATACTTTCCTGATCATAATTAATTTGTGTCGTGTTACAGTTCATAGACCGAAACTCTAAATATTAAGTTTTATTGAAATTTAAAGTAAGTAAATTAACATTAAAACAAGTGTTTATATCTTTAAAAGTTTGGTTAAGATTTGTTTCAAAGTTTACATCTGTTGCATGTATGGATATTCATGTGGCTGGATCGCAAGGTCATACAGAAGAGTGCATATGAGAAATTAGAATGCAGAGTGCTGATTCAGATACTACATGCTTTATTTAATCATAATAGTTTGTTGTGTACAAATGAGTAGTTTTTGGTGTAACTGGCCATCTTAAGGCGTATAAGATGTTTGGATGATGGAACCAACTGGTCTGCTATTATGTCATTCTGCTTTTAATTTGTGTAAGTACATCAGAATATTATAGTTATATTGGATTACGTGCATAACAGTGGCACGATAACCTCATATAACCTGCTTCTATACCTCTTTAAGACATCACTCCAACTGTAAATGAAATAGCACAGCCAACAAAAGTAAGTACGTTTGAAGCCAGAAGGACATCGCAGGTTAAAGGAGGTTTGAAGAAGGGAAAATGCTGCTGTGTTGACTGTGGTCTAATGTCTTTGTATGTTCTTCAAAGTACCAGGTGTTCTCTTTAAAGAAGAAGGGTGCCACAGGAGTTGAATCCTGTGTTAGTGGCCTTGAGCCAGACATATTGCACATCATCATTTAATTTAGTACATCTGACTTGTATTTGAGAGATGCTTGTTTCAAATCTCAGCTAGGACTCTGAATATTTTAATGAGGGAATTCCTGGAAACATACAGCTTTTCTTATGCAGTTTCATGATGTGGACAAAACTACAGCTCTGTAATGCTGAAATGTGCAGTGTATAGTTAACTGAACTGAGACTGGATTTCCTGGATCCATAAATTATATGTGTAAGTGGAAATGAGTTAAATTTAAAAATAAAAATATTAGAATATATATAGCTTCACTTAGGCTTGTTAGAGAGATTTTCTTATGTGAATTTAACACTTCCAGTGCTACAGATACAACTATGGATGTACCGGTTTATTACCAATGATTTTTGTTCTGCTAAATTCCAACCTTTTATAGTACAGTGTGTTATGAAAGATTTAGTTTACACAGTGATCTGTTATATGTGACAAATTTATTTATGTGCTATATTGGTTACTACATTGCTTCTTCCAATTTTTTCTGCCATCCTACATAAAATAAATCAATAATGCCAATACTACAATATTTCCAGCAATTCAATTGGGTCATTTTCCAGAATTTATTATATTTTAAAACATCTTTGAATGTCAATTCTGTCAGACTTCTCTCATTTCTTTCTTTGCATTAAAAAGAATGCTTCATGTTTCCTCTTTATATGTAGATTTCACACAGGTAATAGATGTAGCCCTTGTCTTTTACAGTTTACAGGGCATAAAATATACCATTCAGTTCTGAATATTATGCCTTCATCTTCGGTCTAAGACTTTAATTTTTTTATTTTAAGTTAATATGTACATCACATTGTATGAAAGTTTTTAATTATGAGCTATGCCCACCATAGAGAGTGTAATCCTCTATAAACTTGATGAAAAAATGACCCGTGTTTTAATGCAGTGTAAGTTTGCTTACATAGGTTCGGAAGATTGTGCTGGTCCAGGCATGTGTACGCCGATGGCTAGCACGTGCAAGGTTTCAGCAGGCAAAGTGGCAATTGGCATGCAGTGCAATGACTGTCCAACGATATGTGCGGGGTTGGCTGTCTCGTCGTCGCTACCAGGAACAGCGAAGGGTGGCAGAACAAAAGCGCCAGGAAGAGGAGGCCAGAACAAAGAAAGGTGAACTCCATATTCCTGCATTTCAGTATCAAGAAAGACCTAGATTACATTCAGTAACATATAACAGTAGTGCATTATTAACTAACTTCCCAGAATTATCACACTTAGCACTTCGCGGACCGGAGGCGTTTGGGTTTTAAACGTGGCAGACCGGTCGCCTAGATTTAGGCTTTTAGGACATGTTATGTTGCAACACACTATTCCTCGCTTTGGTGGCCATGTGTCTGTAGAAGTACTGCGTAGCTGACCTTCGGAATGTTTGTTTTCCGTGTCAGCAACGTGACCACTCACTCTCTAAAGAAAAGTCCCTTTGTTCAAGTCGAAGCTTCTATGAGTGAGGCAAGATATTCTCAGTGTCAACATGCCTCAGAGACTAAAGCAGTTGAAGGCCGCGCGAACTCTCAGAGAAGAAGAAATCTGTGATTTGATCTCCGATGAGTTATCTGACTTGCCAGTTGCTTCGTCTTCTGATAGCGAGGTCAGTGGCAGTGAAAGGGGCCCCCAAAATATTGTGACCAGAAGAGAAAGTGAAAGTGACAGTGAGAGCTCTGATGAAAGTGCGAGTGCTAGCATTGCGGGGACAGCCACATGGGGTAAAGTGGACAAAACACCCACTTTGGGAAAGTTTACTGGTGATCCAGGGGTGAGACAAATGCCATTGCACCCTATGCAAGTGTCTGAAGTAGCTGAACTGTTATTTGGAGATAGTTTCTTTGACATGCTGTGTCAGGAGACCAACAGATACTATCTCCAACACCGTGAGGTGTACGACAGTACCTATAAGGTGTTGAAGTGGGTGGATGTCACTTCAGTAGAAATGAAAAAATTTTGGCAATAATCATCCTAATGGGGTTTACAAAGAGGGATAATTTGAAAGACTATTGGTCCACTGATCTGTTTTTAGAAATTCCCATTTTTGGCAAACTCATGTGTCATAAGAGATTTGAACAGATGTGGTGTTTGCATTTCAATAATAATGAACTGCAACCACAATCAATGGGCAGGCTTTTCAAAATTCAGCCCTTATTAGACTTTTTCGTTGAGAAATTTCAGACAGTTTATAAGCCAGACCAACAAATGTCTTTGGACGAATCTGTGATTCCTTGGAGGGGAAGGCTTCGTTTTCGAACGTATAATCCTGGGAAACTCACAAAGTATGGCCTACTTGTTCATGTAGTCATGGAAAGCACTTCAGGCTATATTGGAAATTTAGAAATTTATTCCGGCGAAGGCAAGAAATTGCAGGAACCTATTGTTTCCATTTTGGATCCCTATCTGGATCAAAATTATCACGTTTATCAAGATAATTTTTATAACAGTGTGGCAACTGCAGAATACCTACTTTCAAGGAAAGTACATATTTGTGGTACAATTAGGGTGAACAGAGGCCTTCCTCCAGATCTGAAAGAGGAATAAATCCCTGAAACGTGGTGACACCACATTCAGGAGGAAGGGGGACATTCTTCTTCAGTCTTGGAGGGATACTCGCGTTGTGAATATGATTTCCACTATTCACAATTCGAGCATGGTCGATGTTCAAAGACGACATGGGCAAGTGAAGAAGAAGCCTCTTTGTATTTCTCAGTACCATATGTTCATGAAGGGAGTTGATAAAGCCGACCAATACTTGGCCTATTATTCCCTTCCTAGGAAAACAGTAAAATGGATGAAGAAAGTTGCCTTGTGGCTTATAAATTGTGCCCTTATCAATTCATTTTTGGTTTTCAAAGAGCTAAACGAAAATTCAACTTTGAAATACAAGGCATTTCTCATGAATGTGGCAAAAGCCTGGGCTACAGACCTCACGGTGGCGGCAGAACCTGCGTCAGACACAGACATAGTACGACCGGGACCATCTACTCCCACCCCACGGAGGCCTCATATGGACCCCCCTGGGTGACTCTCGGGTGATATGCGGAAACATACCCTCGTGAAAATTGTGATGAGTGAACAATCGATAGGGAAGTATCCTTCTAGGCAGTGCCATATGTGCGCTGTGCACAAGAAGCGAAGTAAGACTTCCTACGTCTGCAAGTTCTGCGTCATGCCTCTTCACAGAGGGGAATGTTTCCAGAAATATCACACTCTGAAGCACTTCTAGGAGCTCTGGAAAGTCTTTTCAAAAATTTTAGTTCATAAAATTAATTACGAGATTTTATATTAATTTTTAAAGTGAACAGTGCACAAGTTAGGGTAGTAGGTTTAAAAATGCCGGTCCCCAAGGTGATTTAAATATTTAAATCACCGGTCTGTGAAGTGTTAAGAACAATAAGAACAACAACAACAACAGTAGTTGAATTCTTATTTATTTGTGTGCTAACTCAACAGCCCAAAGCCAATTACAAAGCGTAAAAGAAAGAAACAGGCACAGACAAAGTACAAAACAAGGTAATTTATAACATCTGAGCAATGATAATAAAATAGTAATAATATAAAAAACTAAAGTGATATTATAACAGATGATGATGATGATGATCATCATGATAACACCACTCAGGTTATAGTTTAGATGTGAGGAAGCAAAACATATGCATTTACAATGTCTAAAATAAAGTGAAGTCTTGTTTATCCCTGAATTAAAGCAGTGTACACGAAGATGTGCTGTGCAGATAGAGGAGGTACAGCTACCCATACACCCTTAACTGCACTACTAGACATATATGAGCGGCTGATCATGCATGCACCACTTTATCTCTTAAGATAGAGCCCCTGGTGCACAGTTGATAGGCTGGATTCAGTGTGAAATTGTGTGCATTATGTATTTCATGAAATAAATTAGGAAAGGAAAGTTATCAGGTCTTTACAAAGTGATATGACAAATAGAGCTTCAGTATGTTCATGGTTGGAACATAATCTAGAGTTGGATTTTATAAATAATTAACATTAACACAATATTATGAGTTTCTGATAACTGACTGAGCATAATGATTGTGCATTATTAGCTGCTGCAATTGGAAACAAGGCAGGAGCAGGAGCCTGGTTTAAGGCAAAGATGTTAGGACGATTGTCCTCGCAAGAGATAGGAGGTGAAGGGAAAGAAAACAATGCTCCTAGGAGGGATCTAGATGAGGAATCAGCAGCTGTTGTCATTCAGAGCCGTAAGTATCCCTATCCCATATGTATGTCAGTCATACCCACAATTTTGACACCTAACATATCTGTAAATGAGTAGTCCAGTTTTTATTGCAAAAGATTTACAAGTGTATTCTTTTCAGTTGTATATGCTTTACTGGTGTTGATGTTAATTTATATTACAGATACAAATACATCCCAGCAGGCTTACAAATCAGTACCACTATTGCTAGACTGAACAAAGATATAAGTTATTTTTCCTTATGTTATGCTATATATTAACCATACCTAAAATGTTTCAGATAAATGTTATTGCCCATAACATTTTGAAGACTTCTGTAAAAGATACCTTGATTACACATTTAAATTGCAACAAATCCCTACTGTTGCTTTGTTATCATATCTTAGATCATATTTAGTGAACATCAATAAAATATATTCTTAGATTAAAGAACCCCCCCCCCCAATTTGTTGGTTCCTTTTATAGTGGAGTTAGGATTAGATGGCCAGAGTTTGAATCCCAGTGTGGGCACGATTGTTCTCTTGTACATAACGTCCAGACCAATTCCAGGGCCCACCCAGCCTCTTACCCACTGGGTGCTGGGTACTGGTGGCTTGATCTCCATGGGTAAAGCGGCAGGAGGTGTAAAGCTGACCCCTCACTTCCAACAAGTGCCAAGGTTAACAATGGTGGGGTATACTTCCACTCCTCCTAATGTCTTCCTGGAATAGTGCGTAATTAATTAAGCACAGTGACTACTCTACCTTCTTTATGTACGTTACAGATTTCCGTGGTTACACAGTTCGACGCAGATGGGGACCTGAATTGGAAGCTCGTGTGAGGAGGGTCCTGGAAACGTGTCACAATCCTGACACAGCCAGGAGAGCCCTTCAGGTGGGTTTTCCGGTTCTGTCAAGCTGTGTTAATACCACTGACGCTTGAGTGTACACACAATTTTCCTTTATTACATATGCATAATTTCATAGCATGAAATGAAATGACTGGTAAACGGAACAGAAAAATGTAGAAGGTATGTTTACTTGTCTAATGCACTAGTCTTTCAGAATATTTTCATCATGTTTGATATTTACAGTCTTACATTCTTTGTAGATGTTTGAATATGAATGTCATGTATCTCGAATATTCACATCTCT